CTGCTGCTGCAGTTACTGCAATGGGTTGGCCTTCTTGCCCTAGGTGTGATGTGGCAGCTGCTCTAGTTTAGGCCTCTTACCAGTGGCTTGTAGGTATTAAGGCAGCGAGGTGGGGTGCTGTTTGGTGGCCCAGTGATGGCTGCTAGGCAGTGGTCCTTGTCGTGGGCTGCTAAGCAGTGGCTACAGCAGTGGTATGGCTTCGCAAAGGTAGTGTTCCTCTTCACTCCTCTGTCTAAATCCTTGAATGTAAGAAGTTTCATTCGTTATAGTTTCTGAATTTCCCGTCATCGTATTTCTTCCTAAGGCTATTCAAAAAATAAGAGTAGGAACGTGTGGGAAAATCTACAGATGAAGGAAAAATTAGAAACATTGAATGCGAGGGTCTTCTTCAAGCGTTTGAATCAAACTCTCAATGAAAGCACTAATTTGTTGATGCAAGTTTCTGCCTTCTTCAGTCTTGACGAAAATTCACATGCAAAACAATCAACAATTTTGATCAAAGACCAAAAGCCTCACGCGCCCACGATAGTGGGGGGTTTTGGCCAATGGATCTCTGATGCCTAAGTTAGTCTCTCTGAAAAGAGTGAGTGTTTAGGGTTTTCTATATGTAGAAAAGCTTATCGAATTTTGGTGTAGAAATATGGTATTTATAGATAGGGCGACCGACCTAGGGTTGGATTTTTATGACAATATTCTCAATATATTATGTAAATAATATCTTGGGATAATGGTGAAAATATCTCAGATTAAATTTGATTAGGATTAGTTACTTGAAATAGTCTGTCTTCAATTGGGAATGTGTTAAAGACAGGATGTGGTAATTAATCTTATCTTTAAAGCCTTTGACTTTTCTTTGTCACGAGTAGGGGAGTTTTAAGCAGTCGTAGTCAGCTGCTAGAACTTATAGGCATGTTGAGCTACGTGTGGGGACGCTTAACAGCCTTGTCCATTTAATTAAGGCAATCTTGTCTTTCTAAAGTAAAAGGTCCACATGTTGCCTTGTGAATTTTTGGAATTATTTTCAACTCCACATAAATTTTCAGAGAATCACATAAAATCCTGATTGAATACTCTAAATTTGTAAAAAATATTAAGATCGCTCCAAATCCCATTTATTATTATTTTGTTTTATTGAGAAAAAATCCCAATTGAATTGTCATTTTTTAATTTTTTTGAATGATTCAATAAATATATTCAGATGATAATGGTCAAAATAGTTATGAACATTCATTAGTCAATGAATCTCAATCTACTACTATTTCTCTTCCTAAAGTTGGAAAAGGTCTACTACTCCCATTTCCTCTCTTTTTGATAAGCAACGCGGTAGACGACAACCAGAAGCATGACGATATGGTAAACATCAAGAATGCGGTGTCGGCAATTAGCCAGTGTAATATGTTGCCCTTTTGCACTTATTGAATCACCCTCCTTGCAAATAAAAGTATTTAGAGTGTCGTACTATTAAGAAACAATGTGGAGAGGCTCTCATTTATTCAAATGAATAGGATTCTCTCTTCTCCAAATTCCCTTCTTCTATAGTTCCTTTTATTTGAACGGCCACAATTAAACCATGTCAACTTCTAGTATTGACTTCTTTATAGATAGAAAGAAAAAGTGGAAAGTGAAAGGAGAATGAACAGGAGGGAAGGTGAGTTGGAGGAAAGAGAATCATACTCCTTACTAATAAGAATAATTAAGGATTTAGGCATAGACATTTGGAGTATGGTGAATTCATCAAATGCTTGGGCCATATAAATCTCTATTGTTCAGTACTACTCATTAAAAATTTCAAAGTTATATGTACAAAATCAAATTTCATAATAACCAAGTGAGATTGTTAAAAATCTGCCCTAAAAAGCAATCATAAGATGAACTTTATGGGCATTTCCAAGATTAAACTTGTTTAATAAGGGGAAACTTGATATAAGTCTAATTTTTTGAGCCAATAGTAGGGATAGTCAAGTTTATTAAAATAAGTCCAATATGTTATATTTAATTATCAATTGTTATCTGTTCAATGATAAGATTTATTATAAAAATCAAATTTCTTCCCAATTATCTCTTTGCTTATTTCTTTTTATTTATCTTTTTGTTATTTCTCGTTCTTCCTCTTGCTTTAAACCTCATTTATAGATTTTATTTTTAATTTTTATAATCAACCTATATAACAGGTTAATTATATTTATCTACTTATATGACAGATTCTTTTTTTTATAATCAACCTGTCACAGATTAATGTGTCTTACTTGTAGGTATGTTATGTTTTTTCTATCTTTTAATTAGGTTTCATATCTCATGTATAGGTATTATATACATTCATATATTTGTTACCTGAGTTAGGGTAGAATGTTTTGCAGATAAATTTATGTTAGTATATTAGTTTTTTTTGTTAAAAGATATTAAATATATTTTTTTGGAGTTGGAAAATGCATAATATTAGCATATTTTAATTGATTTTTAATATTTTTAGAAAATATAAAATGAGTATAAAAGAAATAAAAACATATAATTAGATAACTGGACTGACTCCTAAAAACACTCTAGGTTTTTAGACCTGGATCTAAAAGCCCCTAAAATAATTAAAGAACAAAAGATTTTATATATATAGTTGTCTTGTTAAAAGTTATATGCTTAAGCAATGAGTCCATATGAATATGTAATAGAGAGTGTAATCTAAAGAAGATAGATTCATGAGAGTTTTCTCTCTCATACTGATTTCCTAAAAGTTCATGATCATAGGATTTCCAATTAGGCATTGGCAATCCACAAAGGTCACATGCTATGTCTTTTAGAAGAAGTAACTAGTGTTGAGTCGCTGATATAAAAGACATTACGACAAGTATGTAGGTACTCTATATAAGTAAGGGTTTCATTCAATATTGTGACGTACTGGTTAAAAACCAATAGAAGAGTTTTGTCTAAGAGTGCTTGAAGAACCTAAGATGAATCAAGAAGATCTCCATCGATCTTGTGATCAGGGTTATGTGGCAATACCCACAAAAAATTAAGGGACTATTCACTATTCGCTCTCGTGGGGGTCTTTCGTACTCAAAGAAGAATTATTGAGCATACTAAAATCTAGTGATTGGGTTCAATATTCATGAAAAATCGGGTTTGAAATTATCCATGTTATGAAACCAAAATAGCCTCATAAAAAAAGGGTTAAGGACCTCCAACACCTATAAATAAAAGCTTCTTTCGGTCTCTCTTTGGCAAAATGGAACGTAGAAGTCTGCAAGAAAGAACTTGAGTAGCCATGGATATCGCTTGCAAACTTGCTATAATTGAGCACAAAAAATACATTATGTGGAAAACCAGAAGCTGCAACCGTAGCAGACACTGGGTTCGTTTTGGGAACACCTGCCTACTATCGATCCAATTATCATACGAGATCGTAAGCTTAGTACTCTTCGGGCGAATAGGTGAGTTGCAACACAGTACTCCTTAGTATAACCTTCAAATAATAGCAATTGGACCTTAGAAAGAATCCCCTCGATGCTACTAAGATCTTCTAAAATCTTTTGCCACTGTAGTGGCTTAAGTTAGAGTACAACATCAAATAACCGTGTCATGATACAATGATTATTTGCAGAGTTTTGTAGACATGCAAGAATGAAAAATTCTTTTTTTTTTTTTTTTTTATGAAGTTCTCACTGTAAGAGAGTTACCAAACTCATCTCGTGTTACATGTCGCGGGGTTTGCTCCATGCCCGACATTGTTGTAGATAGCAACATGTCATCCGATGGTACAAGAAAAACAATACGACAGACTCATCCACGGTGTACTTCATCAGGCGAGATCCTAGTGAGTCTACCAAACCCACGACAACCTCCGGTTGCCAATGGAACATATAGATTTTCTCCATATCTATAAACCACCAATGGCACCACATGCACATACTAACCACAACTATATCCAGAAGACACGTAGTGTAAAGTAGCTTTTTCAATTTAAGTGATTAGACCCGTTATATTCTATTGTAGTGATTCGCTAGTTATCTATGTCATTTTTTTCGAAAGAAAGTGTACTAAAGCCATCGCAACTTATCATAAAATGCTAAGACAAACCCCTTTCCACGACAAAATCAAGGAGCATCTCGATACGCACAAGAATTTTAATAAAATTAGCTCATATGTATCTTCTGTGGACCTAGTTTAGTACAATTGTGTGTTTTTATTATATATACTACAGATTAACAAGATCATCTTGCACTCTTCCATGTATATTTGTCCTTTTGTGTTTTAATAAAAAAATAAGTGCACGATAACCTTTTTGAAGCGTCAATAACAACTTTTTTTATATAAAGGTTATTCTTTTAGTAGTTTTCATGCCTTCCACAATGAGCTAGAAAATTGAGTTTATTCCAATTTTATAGGAATCAAACCACAATCCACCCAGACACGATCATCATAAATGGTTCGTGTGACGGGAATAGAGGTGGGGCTCGGAATAATCTAAGTCTACAATAGGCTAGAAAATTTTAGTTCTATGAGAGTGATTCTAATTGAGCTCAATATTTTGAACTCATTGTAATACATATCATACTCATTACTCATATTACTACAGCAATATTGTTATAATTACTAACTCTTTTTAACACGTCGGCCAACCCAAATAAAAATATTGTCTTTTACCTTGAGAGTTGCTAGCTATTAATACCGTAAAGGATCAATCATGCACTTATCTTTAGTGTAAAAAATCAAATGTATGGCCTCCTTTTCGCCTTATGTAAAATTAATTTTTCCATAGTGAATGAACATCATCAGATTCTTTTAATACAACTAATTATCTAGATCGTGCATGCCTAGCCAAGTCAAACGATGGACGAAAGAACTTCTCAACTTCATATAGAGGTCCAAAATTTGACCAAAATCATGAAAATACTTGGCATGGGAGAGGATTATTCAATGCAGTAATTTTCAATCGAAGAAAAGTCAGAAAAACCCAAGAGTTATAAATAGGCGACAACCGATCTGAATATATACAAGTTTTGGAAGTTTGGAATTATCACATACTTTCATTCGAACCTTTTCCTTATAGTCCAAGAAAATATATGTACATTTATACAACAATGGTGATCAAGTCCGAGCAATTGGTGTGTGGTATTCTTCTGTTCCTCTCTTTGGTAAGCTGTCTGTGTAACCTAGCTAATATGCCATCAGGATCATCTTTTTAGATTTTTCAAGTTTTTATAACTAGTTAAGCAACTTATTTATCCAGATTATTCGTATTTAGAATCGTTAATGGCATACTTTTGGACGAATATCGATACTATTAGTTGTTCTGGTTTTCCTCATTCTATAAAAATACTGATATCTCAATAAGTCAATATTCAATAATTAAATTATTTGAGGTGATTAATGAACATCATCTGTATATGTTAATGATCAGATGGGATCAAGTATGGCAGCTCGGGCAGTACCCCATGACGATGTGTTAGAATGGGTACAGAAAGATAGTCGTCGTTTCCTGCGTGCTAATATCAGAGTTAGTGATCTTGATCGCACCATTAAGTATGTATTTAATTTGGCAAAGTATTCTTGCATGCATGCATGCAAATTCGTTTCAGGTTAAGCTTGTTGTAATACATAATTAATTAATTTTTTTCTCAAAATATTATTTCTCAGGTTTTACACAGAACTTTTTGGATTGAAAGTATTGAGTAGAAAAGATTTCCCAGAAGAAAAATACTCAAATGCAATCGTTGGGTTTGGACCTGAAGAATCTCACTTTGTGATAGGGCTCACATGGCATCGTATGTTAATCTTCACTCCAAAACTTTGTCTAAATTGATCAAAACATATATGTATTCATATATATACACATAGGAGGCAATTGAACTCTTAAAGAAACCCTAATATTTTATGCGTGTATGTACTAGCAAATACTGATTTATTACTCATACGATCTTAATTCGCAGACAACGCAACGGACAAGCTAGACATCGGAACAGCCTTTAGTCACTTTGGAATTGCAACTCAAGATGTATGTATCATATTGTTCATTAACTCTCGCTGAATAGTAAGTTTGAAACTTTGAGGAGTAGTGACCGTTTGGTTAACATCTTCGTTTCTGTGTGTTTGTATCAACCTTCAGATTTATAACACGGTTGAAAAAGTTCGAGCCAGTGGCGGTGTGATCACTCATGAACCCGGGTCCCTCGTAGAAGGGGGTACCGTTTACGCCTTCATGAACGATCCTGACGGCTACAGTTTCGAGCTCCTCCAGAGGCCGCCAACTCCAGAACCACTTTCTCATATATGTCTTAATGTTATTGATATAAATCGGTCTATTGAGTTCTACAACAAGGTTGATTTTGCGTACTCTCTCATAAACCCCCTTATTCCCTCTTAGCTATGATTATCAGAATGCTTACACAATTGCATTTTTTGCTGAAACGCCATGTGCAGTCCTTGGGCATGAACCTACTACTAAAGTTTGACGTCCCTCAAGAGCAGGTATATATGTGTGCGTGTAAATATACATTTTTTTCTTTTACCTTCTAGGTCAGTTTTATACTTTCTTTTATATGACGACATTGGTGGTGAGAGTTTGGACTAAACTAGATAATAAGCCAACTATAAATTGATATAGAGTACTGTCATTCACTCAAATAATCATAAATTCGTGCCAAACTCATCACGGAGAGTTAAAACATGTCTCACTTACAAGTTGAGAGAAAAACCACTAAATTGTAGTGCTGATAACGGGATTCATTTTACTTTGTAATATATGCACAACAAATGTTATATTAATTATTATTTTGTGTTGCAGTATACCGTAGGTATGGTGGGGTATGGATCCAATCTCACTCAAACAGTTGTGATCGAGTTGAAATACAATTATAATGTGACGGCATATAGGAGAGGAAATGGTTACGCACAGGTGAGCTACACCCATGCATATTTATGCATTTCATTCAGTCAAACACACAAATGAAAGAAATTGCAAAGCGCGTTGAGTCGTTGCCTTTGATTTGGCCAAAAATTTGAATCCAAAATCTGTTGACCTTGTTTCATCAAGATGTCTATTGACTTTCTTGACTCATTCTCTACTTTACAAACCAAAAATACACACTTGCCTCGCCTCCTAACCATTGATTAAGGATAAATTCTAGCGTCTAAAAACCGAATCACGTCAACCCTACAGCCGAAACACCAAAAAAACACATTTACCTCAACACCCCCTCAACACCCCCTCAACCCCCAAAAAAAACAAATTATCGAACCCACCAAAACCCCTAGTCCCGAATGAGGATTCTCCGGATCCTCTTTGTGAGGATCCTAGGAAGAATTTCAAATCGTATCCGTTCATCGTACATCGTGCAAACAGAAATCATTTTAAATATTTTTATTTAAAATTAAATATAAATAGTACCTAACGAAAACTAGTTGCACGATATAAGATGAACAGACACGATTTGAGGATCCGGAAAGAATCCTCATCACCTAGTCCCACCTCCCTCTCTGTTTGGCCCCTTCGTGTCTAGGGTTTTGTTGAGTGACTGCAATTAAAAATTAATCCTTAGGGATTTCTATGTTCTAATTTTATTTTTGTCCAACATTGTATTTGAAGGTTGCTATTGGCACTGATGACGTGTACAAGAGCGCAGCAGCTGCAAAACTGGTTATCCAGGAAGTTGGAGGGAAAATAATAAGACCACCAGGTCCAATCCCAAAAATTCACACCAAGATCACAGCATTCCTTGATACAGATGGCTTTGAAACGGTAAGGAACTAGAAAACCACATGAAAACTATATTCTTTGATTCTTTCATGCTTTTATGTTGGAAAGATTCGAAACCTGGACATATCCTAGTCCTAACTCATTGCGTCACTCTCTTTCACACTGCTTGAGTTAACCGGCAAAGGCAACATGAACCTCCTTTCATTGCATAACTCAAAGATATATTATTTTTTATGGGCGCAAGCTTACAGAAACATTTCTTGTTAACCCTCTAGGTGTTGGTAGACAATGAAGACTACCTGAAAAGAATCGAAGAAAGAGCGGTAAAGCAAAATCCATAGCATTTGGTACTGCTCATGTATTTCTAGTTGAATAAAGAAGCCCTGATTCGAATATGTTTTCGTTCTACTTATGTCCCTTTCTCCAATTGTTTCTCTGCATCCTTGTTAGGTTTTCTTTTATTCGTTCTTTTCTGTTTCTAGGTTAACGATTCATTTTGCCTTACTGTAACTAAGCAAACTTTATTTGTCCAAATAAAAAATAATAAAAATGAGCAAGCCTGTATTCTGTTTGTACCTTGTAAGTTTTCCCTCCTTCAACAGCTTTTTGAAGCTATCTTCAGTGCATTCGCCGCAAGGTATGATCTTCAATTCAGAACAGAGTGCCAAGATTTCATAATGATCCAGATGCTTAAAAATCCCCGGGTCTCGATCATAATCCTGATAGCATGAATTTTAAATTCAGAAAGAAGAAAAATGAAATGATGTAGTCAGCAATCTTGATTAAACAATCCATATTTTCAACACCTCGCCACCCTACATCAATTGAAAGGGAAGACATGCCTCCCACAATTCTCACCAATATACATAACATTATCGTATGATAAAGGAAACGACTAAGCAAGAAAAAGAGAATGCTGTGCTTATGCCACCTGCCAGTATTAATGTTTATTTTACCTTTTCTGTGACTATAACAACTGGCTTGGAACCAAATGCATCCTCCAGTTGTCTTAGTTTCTTCCTGATCATTTCAATATCCTAGATTCACAACAAAAAGACGAAGTCACCACATTAGCGTCCAAATCAACATTTGACCAACCCTGCGGGCTATATTCTGTTTTAATGTAGCATTACCTGCCATCTACTTGTGTCTGACCAGAAGATTAAAATTAGATTATATTGACGAGACTGGATGGTAATGACAAAGAATAACATATTTTACATTTTTTGGAGGGGCAAAGGCAGCACGGACTCTAAAAAGCCCACAACAATTTTACATTTTACTTATGCAGTAAGCATATAAGGTATAAAGGTGTCTCTCCATCATTTGGTTGAACAAAAACTGTACAGGACAATAATCTCATGTCGAAGAAGAGGAAGATTGTACCTTGGGCTGAAATATGTGGTGGTCACTGAATTCAAGTCGATCGACATAGAATGCTCCTATCTGCAGCAAGTTATCCACATTAGAGATACAATCACAGATAATAGAAACAAACCAAAGGGTAAAGAAATAAATTGTACCCACAGAAATTGTCGCAAGACCAAAAAAAGAAGACCTTTAAGCTTCTTGGAATCTCCTCCAAGAAGGAAATTTGAAACTTAATTGACCATCAGTAGAACACACAAAAATATGTTTATATATGTACAGGAGAGATGGGCAAAAGTATAATACCTTCTCCATTCCCTTCACAAATGCATCCGCAGAACCAATGGCAGAAACACATAATACAATGCTGTTAGACAAAGCTGTAAGAGGTTTTCTGGAGTTGACATTTCCCACGTCGGAGAAAAAGCAGGGATCCATTTTAGTGAAGAATATTGGAACAGATTTATTAACTTCTCTTAGCATTAATTCTATATCTATGAGCTTTTGTCCTGAAACCTGCGAGATTTACAAGCATAAAATTGTCAATTAATGACTTTCCCTGGCTAACATACACAAAGTTACCAAGGGCACCCAAGGCATATAATCTTTAAGCCACTTTTTTAACCTTGAAATAAAAGGTCAGTTTATATACCAAATCTGCATGATGGAGCACAGCAGCATCTGCCCGTCTAAGTGCATTCAAAGGTTCCCTTAACGGTCCACGTGGTGTTAAGTGACAGTTGCCCCATAGTGTTAATCCATTAATCATTAGAATCTCCAGATTACGCTGCAGGCTCCAGTGCTGTCTTCCAAATTTTTATAGCATAAAGCAAGAGCATAGCACTTCAATGAGCATAAGACAACTATAAGAAAAAGTAACAAAAAGTAGCAACTAGGAGTTGGATTACAGATTCATGGACTTAGCATCCAGAACACATATTTACAAAATTAAAAATAGTAGCAGAGCAAAAGAAGCTCTACATGTTAAAATGTAAATATGTTAAACAGTTAAAGTCTGATTTAGGCCAATTTGGCATGCCCCTCAAACTTCTCTATGAACAGCCATAAAAAGCCCCCCTTCCTTTGCCATTCGGCACATCCCATATCAAGGATAGAGATAAAATATATAACTATACCTGCATTCCGTCATCCAGAACTACAGCACCAATTTTTTGTGAACTAGGATGATTTCCCACTTTCTGTCCTAGGTTAAGTCCATCAGCGTATTTACTTGTAGAGTAAGGATCAACATAACCATATTTTTCAAAGAAATGAGCAGCGATAGCTGCCCGATTTGCACCCACACCTATCTTCACAGGCTTTCCAAGCAAATGCCTACGAAGCATTTTAGCTTCATCCCCACCAGCATAACCCTACCAGAGGCGTTTCACAAAATCTCGGGTCAGACTACAGAAATATCACTTGAAAATTCATTGACACTTTAAATAACACCTAAAAATTCATAGACAGAAAAACCAAAATAAAGTACCCTGGTAAGAATGAGAGGAGAAATTCCCGAATCAGCTAAAAACCGCGCAATGAACTCCACCATTGGAGTTTTCCCGTTGCCTCCCCATGTCAAATTCCCAACACTTATCACTGGCACCGGTAACCTTCAAATCAGTAACTCCCTTTTAATTATCGCTAAAATCAACAATTGACTAAATATATAATTATATCAAACAAGGGCCCTGCATTGATTCCATCTAAATTCTACAGTGTTTGATTTCGGAGAAATTCGCAAAAAGCCCAAATAAAAGTTGGAAATAAACAGAAATTCAAGCTTGAATTTGGTTGCAATAGCTGCCCTAAGTGAAACGAATCATTAGGGTTTCAACCAGACAATCTAATTATTTGAGCTTCTAAACAACACCAACAGACAAACACTTTATGGACCGTTTGGTTGCTGAGAAACTGTGAGAAAATGTAGCACAATTGGAGCACGCACTTTTGAATGTGATACAAATTGATATTGTATTTCAATTTTCCGAGCATCCAAACAAGAGATAAATAATGAACCGGGGATTGGAAGAGTACCGGTGCTTTGTGCAGAGGCCATAGTGGTAGAAGGAGCGGCGGAGGGAGAGGGCGAGCCTGCAGAGAGAGGAGGCGAAGGAGAGGACAGGGATAAGAGAGCGGTGAAGATGAGTAAGCTTAGTGTGGTCCTGAGTGTAGGCGATCTCGCTCACCGCTTTCCTCAGTTTCTCCATTGAAGACGACCAAGCCAAGCAAGCACTGATGCACTGTCCATGAAAGAGAGGGAAAGAAGGAGGAGTTGTTTTTTTAGGCGAATTTTCATCAAAATGTTTGTGCTAAGTTTATTTTAATCAATAATTATATTATAATTTTATTTAATAAAAAACTAAATATTAATGAAAAATTCTTAAATTTAATAAAAATTACAAAATAACTTAAATTTTAATGAAAATAATACAATTTTAATAATAATAATAAATTGATGCAAGGGACTTGTGCGTCCATCACAAACATTGTTTGTGAAACTAAACACTATTTATGAAATTGAACGGTACTACAATATTTATTGGTTCAAATTCATAAACAGTGTCTAGTTCTTGGTCCACTTTCATAAATAGTGCCTAGTTCTTGGTCATGCTTCATAAATAGTGCATAATTATTAGATCCAGTTTTATAAATAATGTATAGTAATTGATACAGTTTCATAAACAGTGTCTCTTTCTTGGTCCGGTTTCATAAATCATGTCTAATTATTGGTCATCTTTCATAAATATTGTCTTATTCTTAGTCATGTTTCACAAATATTGTCTAATTCTTAATCCAGTTTCATAAATAGTTTCCACGTATTGATTTAGCTTTGGAAATAGTGACTAGTTCTTGTTTTCGTTTCATAAATAGTCTATACTTATTGAATCAATTTCATAAATAGTATCTACTTATTGGTCTAGTTTCATGAATAGTGTCTACTTATGGATCAAGGTTTATAAATAGTATTTAATTCTTGGTTCAGTTTCATAAGGCTTGAAACTTAGACCTTTTAGTCCTATAAAAGCACCCATTGTGCAGAAAACAATGAACCCAAAAATGATCCTTTAGACCAAAACCTTGAAAAGATTATGTTCTCAGTAATTATATTTAAAAAGGGTTTTTATCACAAATGGTCCAAGAAATTGACCTTCACCATCAAGATGGTCCCTGAAATTAAAAATCAATCAATATAGATCCTGAAAATAGGTGTCACAAATCAATGTGGTCCTTCCGTCACAATTCTATTAAAAATTTCATGAAGTGCTGATGTGGCACATAAATGAGTCCTACAAGATTTACGGGTTTTAATCACAACTGGTCCCTGAAATTGACCCACACCATCAAGATGGTCCATGAAATTGACCCACACCATCAAGATGGTCCATGAAATTGACCCACACCATCAATATGGTCCCTGAAATTGAAAATCAATCAATGTAGTCCTTGAAAATAGGTGTCGCAAATACATATGCTCATTCCTCAACTATTCTCTAAAAAAATTTGTTATGTGCTAATGTGAGTTTAATAATTAATTAAAAAAGTTATCTAAATACCTTTTTGCACAATGGAATTTTTTTCTTATAGTAGGGCCTACTCCGAAGAGAGATCTCTTCCATAAATTCTCAAAGACACAAGGTTTAACCAAGGCCTAAGAGGGGGTGTGGACATATTTTTCCTACCAACAATAGACGCACATCAGTTATAATCTCATTATCTCAAGGCAGACTTCGTCGTTCTTTGCATCACCAAACCACCAGGGAAGCACCGAACAAGCTCTTCAAGATTAAGATTATGAGGATGTTGATCACCTAAATGTTAATGGTGATGTCTCAGAAGTCGTTGCCAATTGACCAAGCCGTCACCAAAGCTAATCTCGATCAAGTTCGATTCGGTGAAGGATGTCAAAGTGTGTAAAGATGAGTGTATTGATTTTTTTTTTTTTTTTAGGCAATAGAGAGTGAATGAGGTAGAGAAATGTGGACTGAGATTGGAGGTGATTGCAGGACTAGGTTTTTGAGTTGACAATTTTTTTATTAACTATTAAATTATTAATCCTATTTTGTAATTTTTTTTTAATTTAATTAGACTTGTATAACCCATTTATGTGTCATATCAGCATATAATAGAATTTTTAACTGAATTGTGACGAAATGACTACATTGATTTGAGACACTTATTTGCGGGACTACATTGATCAATTTTCAATTTCAATGACTATTTTGATGTCGCAGATCAATTTCAGAGACCATTTTGATGTTGTGAGTCAATTTCAAAAACCATTTGTGAAAAGAAAAAAAATGACTTATGGGGCTCATTTATGTGCCACATCAGCACTTAACAAAAGTTTTAACAGAATTATAACGGAATGACCACATTGATTTGCGACACATATTTTTAGGGACTACATTGATTGATTTTCAATTTCAGGGATTATCTTGATGGTGAAGGTCATTTTCATGAACCACTTATGATAAAACCCCTATTTAAAAAATTGTTTTCAATTACCAAATTAAAATTTCCTCACATTTTTAACATACCTGCAATAATCAATGTGGCTCCCCATCCAATTTCTTGAGCTTGGGTGTCATTTTGAAGAAATTTTTCCTTGTGCCCGTAACACAAGTAGTACACCACGAGTTATTATATAAGCGGTGGGAAAATTTATTTTTTATGTTATTAATTTTTTAATACAAGAATCTCACAACTTGTATAGAGACGTAGTGTACCACCCTGTGTTCTGATCACATTGAAAAATCTTTCCTTATCTTGACTACAATTGAAAAACAACACGACAAAAATAAAATTGGGGAATGTAATTCAATTTGAAGTCTTTTTCTTATTCTAAGCAAAAAATAAAATAAAATAAATCTATTAATGTAGCTGACAATGGGAGAAAAAAAGTGGAGTGTGGAAAGGGGGACGCGCCCAACACAAGTTGGGTTTTTTAATTTTTTTTATTGTGTTGTCTTTATCATTAAATAAAATTAGTGGATAATTTTTATTAATATGTAAAAATTTGAAGCTATTTTCATTAATTTCTCTTTTTTGTATATAAGGAAAAAAAAAAAAGAGGTTGACGTCCAATTCACGGATGTTCCATTCTTTATAGGCTCAGATGAATAAAAGTGAGCCCAAATGATCTCAAATAAAAACTTCCCAAATTTAGCAATAACTCTTTATTTTGATTCTAAGATTTGAAATATATGGATGTGAAGCTGGGAATGAAGAGAATCAATATATACCTACATGGAGATCAATTCGTGGCCGAATATGGCCGGAAATCACGTCTGAAAGTGACCAAATGGTCACGGACTTCGCTAGAATATAGGGAACTTTTTCCTCCTAGTCACGCTTCTGTACCAGACCTCACTAAATTAGACGTCCAACATCTAGACATTGTTTCTAAAACACAAATGAGGAAGGGCGAAGGTGACCCAAGGCTTACCTAAGCCGTGAACGGTGAGATTTGTTGAAGATGAGGGTGCTTACGATGTCACTGCACAGTGAGGCAAGGGAAGAGATTTAGAAGCGTTTTCTTTCATTTTTGAGCTCATAGAACTCACAAAGGGGGGTGCGTGACCAAGGTGATGTGATTGGGAGAACTCGCTGGAGAAAATGGCAAAGGGTGGTGGCTCAAGTTCGATGGAAATAGTGGCAACACCGCCTGTGTTTCGTTTGGTCTATGTCTGAGACAACAAGAGAAGAAGGAAGTGATAGTAGAGGGTCAATGAGGAGGATGGTGTGTCCTAGTCTCAACACTGGTGGAAGTAAAAGGAGGTGAGAATTTGAGTGAAAGATGCAGGAAAAGATAGATAGATGAATGATGGAAAGAAGAGGAGAGAGAGAGAGAGAAGAACGACTGAGAGATATGGAAGACACGGGATAGGGGAAAAAGAGAGGGGTGTGGGCCCCATTGGCTCACAAAACAAACCCACAAAAAGAAAGTTAGAAAATATCTCTCGTGCAACGTGACATTACCAAATTGCCCATCACATTCGTAGTTCCGTAAAATTTTAACGGTAACTCTAATTTTGATTCCGCATGCGCCTACGGGTTCGTGCCGTTGAGTACAATAAGGATACACTAAAATAATGTTTGTACATCTCACTATACGTTGGTCAATGAAGGTCAAACAATCTCTCCTAAAAGGGCATTTTCACACTTTTAAAATTAATAAAGCCGTAAAATTAGGAACGAGTTGTTACAAATTTGGACCATTTGATCAACCAACAGTCTAATAATTTAAATCGTCGGATTGAAAAAGATTCATTGGGCTCGTTTTGGGTGGCCGATATTCTTGTCAAGGGTGGGCCCCTACTTCCAACTTCGTGCCTTGGGCGCATCGCCTTGCTGCAGCTTCTACTTTTCTGGGCGTGTCCACACACATTAGATGGCCTAACCTTTTAACCTTGGCTTGAATTCTCGGTTAAATTTGCCAAAATTTTAGGTTTTAATCCAAAACTTATTTTAGACTCATCCATTAGAGAAGGATTGGGTTACTTTAAAACCTAAATTTTGGAGGGCTAGCCTTTTAACCCTGGCCTAAATTCTAGATTAAATTGCCCAAATTTTAGGTTTTAACCCAAAACTTTATGCCCAACCATTGGAGAATGATTTGGTTATTTCAAAACTTAAATTTTAAGTCTTAACCCAAAGGTTGGAGATGGTTAACCAAACTATAAATAGTAGACCCTCATTTTTTATGGTTAAAGCTAACATTCATTACTTACTAACATAAAATACAAAACGAATGCCCAATCACAAGGAAAGTACCAAGGAAAATATAGACCTCCAAAACATTATAAGGAAAAAGCCCAACCCATCACCAGGATTAGAGCCCAAAACAACAAAACACACAGTAAAAAAACCTCGAACTAATAACAGTTTCGAGATCAACAAATGCCGACACGAAACCAAGAAAGCTCTCACGAGCAATATCGCTAACAAATACAATCAAAGGGAAGGGCCATTAAAGGTGGTGATGCGAACATTGGAGCCGAAGATCTACACACTCACCCGTAGATCCGTGACAAAATACGGTGCATGTGGGTCAAGAGGTGATGAATCTAATGAAAGAAGGGGAAATGATGTAGGATGGAGGAAACAGAGGGATGGGTAGGCCATAAGGGAAATGAAGAAAATGGATTGTTTTGAGACAAGTGAACAAACATTGTGGAGAATATGAGAAGGAAAGTCGGAAGTGGGGGCTTTCCGATCTATGACAAAGGAGTTAAGGTTTTGGGTTGGAGAAAATATGGTAGAAGAACAGGAGGAAAAGTAGGCTGACAAACACA